TTAAGAAAACTAGGGAAACAAGAAAAGAAAACCCTTACAAACACAAGACATGCCAAATCAGCTAAACAAACAGACAAAAGACACAAAATATATTGCAAAGGAGACAGACAGGAGATTGCCACAAAACAAATATAAGAAACCATTAAGCAAAAAAAAAAAAAAAAAAAGATTAGGACGAAACTGATAATCCAATCAAACCACCCCGCAAAGTTTGCCTTCTGAACCCCATGGAGTTTACCCTCTGGCGGAAATGAAGACAACCCCTGACAGGATTTAAAACATTAAGAAATACAAACACAAGCACGCACACACAAAATGAGAAAAAAAGGTATAAAAATCAGGGACTTAACCATACAAAGGTAGCTAGCCCAGGAACGCAGACTTCTTGCTATCTCTCGCCTTCCTGAAAAATAAAAAGATCCAGCTTTCAAGCAGTTGTCTGTATCCTTGCACCGGAGCTCTCCCAGTGGGAAAATCGAATCCTCAGAAGAAAGGCATTTTGACAGCCTTTCAACAATACCTATAAATATTTATATATATAGATACATTTTAGTACCTTGAACAAACAATTCCTGCAGTTCCCCAGTTGCACCACACCTTGCTAGAGACACCAAAGCACTGAACTTTTTAAATGCAACTGTCCCTAGTCCATCGACAAGCTCTGCCAACCTCTTTCTAAAGAGCAACGCTGGAGAACATCCTTCGCGTGCAAAGTCCTCATTTCCGTCCCACATCATATACAATGCATATATTATACTGATCAGCGAAGGTGGGGTGGGGTGGGAAGCCACGTCGGAATACCCCATCTATTGTACCAAGGCCCATTAAGGGGCAGCAGATACAGAAAGCTGCTTCTTGCCATCACTAAAACATTTGTGCAGATGTACTACTACAATATACTGCAGGAATATTAAGCGTATCCTAGTGCATTGATATAGGAAGGTATTTCCCCCCCCCTTCCTTCTTAAAGAGTTTGCAATAGGTGTATTTCGATATTAATTGGAATATTGTTATTTTATCTCCTGCAAGGAACGCCCGCACGTAAGAGACTCGATGCAGAGAGAAGGGCGCGCGCCCGCGCGCGGGGGGGGGTAATCTTGTAATTTTAGACGTTGATTTCCTGACGAGGCGCCCGTTATTAAATCTCATTGGCTGGTCGCTTTGTCATTCCCGTAAATTCTTGAAGGCACAGCTGAACTCTCGGGAAACGGGAGTATTTTCCTCCTTTTCCACGTCCCGTCTCCGGAATGCTCTCTCTCCCTTATATTTAGAAATCTATACCGTCCGACTTTTCAAAAATTAACCGCCACCCCAAACCCCCCCCTTTTTTTTTTTTTCTCAAAGCCGGTAAGCCCTGGGCTTTTTATCCTCTCTCAGACGCTCCACGTTCCCGCGCCCTTTATTATTCCTGAGCTCAAAGGGGGCTAATAACATCCCCCCGCCCCATTTGCTTTACGAAACCAAGATAGGGGGGAAGAATTGTCTGTTGCTGTTTCTCGAGGTCCTATTGGTGGAAGTCGCAGAGGTGGGGTTAATATTCCCGCCCCTCTCAGGTTTTCCTTCCTCAATCGCCGCGCCTGGCGCCGCGGGTGGCTTCGTTTCCTTAGCTTCGCTCTATGAACAGAGGCATCTAAAAGGGCGGGACCAGGATCCGGTGCCTTGGCGAAAGCTGAATCCTTATTGGAGAATGTGGCCAGGTAGGAGGGAACCGAGAGCCCGGGGCCCGGATCCTAATTGGCCAAGTCGGAGCAAAGGCTGTGGAGGAGAGGGCGGAGTTCGCTGCCCATCAATCGGGGAGTGAATTGGGATTGCCGCGGGAGGCGGCGGCGGTGGTGGCGGTTCCGGTGGTCGGTCTTTTTCCGCCGCTGTCCGCAGCAGCTCCGGCTCCTCCATGGCCGCTGCGGTCCCTGGCGCGGTTCTCCCTGCCGTGCCGGGAGTGGGGGAGGCCGTGTCCGTGGAGGTCAGGCCCGGAGGCTTAGGACCCCCGCCTCCTTGAGGAGAAGGAGCCGAAATGGCAAAGCTGGCCGCGCAGGTAGGAGGGCGAGGGCGCCCGGCTCAGCTTCCCACCCCTCCTTTTTTCCCCTTCTCTCTCCCCCCCCCCCCCCCCCGCCCGCCACCCGGGATTCTGGTAGCTGAGTAGCTGCAAAGGAATCCCTTGCTGCAAAGAGGGCGAAAGGCTTTCCTTCTCCATCCCTTCTCTTCCCGTGGAGAAAGCCTCCTTCGCCTCCCCTTCACTCTTGCCCTTCTTTCAGCCCCGAGGGTAGGGCCTCCGTTTGTCCCCGATATATGGGGGTACTTGGCCCGCCCGGATTGGGACCTCCCGATTTTGTCTGTAGGTTTCCACGCCTTGCTTGGGATTTTTGGGGGTTTTTTTTGGGGGGGGGGGAGGCCAGGCTTTTTTCCCGGTATATCATTTTACTACCCCAAAGGAGGAGAAGCGCAAGCCATGCCCTATACCGAACCCAGTAATTCCCCTAGTCCTCAAGGGGAGGGGGGCATCGACCATCCCTAAAAGGAGGGGTTTCTCATTTCCTGCTCTCTGCCAACTCGGAAATGGGAGCCCCTTTTCCGCTAGTTAGGTCAGTAATTATGATAATCATCAGGCAACTCTGAATGTAAACGGTGTTTGCTCCACCACCGTGTTCGTGCATATATCATGAAAGCTCTTTTCTAAATGAGCATTGGGGCTAAGAAAACGTTGGAGGGTAGATAAGGTGCGCCCTGTTGATCTGAGGTTTGAGCCTGTTTGCTGGAAAATAAGGTTATCTTAGTATGTTACCTCTAATATTGGAAAGAATAGGTCCTTGAATACCACTTGTTAGGAAGCACAAGGGAAAGGGTGCTGTTGTGCTTCATTGATCTCTCACCTTGGTTTGGATCAAACATGAAGGTTTTTACATTGCTCCATGAGTACCCTGTGTGGACCAACACAGGTTCAGTTGCATTAAGAACCATTTTTTAAAACCTAAAAAACGTTCTCACTGTCACTAATATATTTGGACAACAGTGAGATTGGCATTTACAATTCCTTTATATTTAAGTATTTCTATTTTAGTTCTTTTTATTTTCCTTTGAAATGAGTGGACAAAGGAATCCTCTCTCCTGTCCAAGAATAGTTAAGCCTATCTTCTTTATTATTGAGATTTTATTCTTGAAAACTTTTGGGAAATGTTATTGGGTTCATGTGGGTAAGAGATGTAGTCTCATCAAGCAGCCAAACTCTCATGTCTAGTGGGAGAAAAATACCACTTCTTGAATTCTATAGGCTAAAATTGCTGTAATTTTTTGATCAGAAGAAATGTTTTGATTTTAGACTTTCTATTAAATTCAGTCTCAAAGATTTTGCAAACACTAATTTTAGGTTGGTGTTTTTTTCATGATCTAATTGACTGTTCAACATCCAAAGTAGATGCTTTTTACATTGTCTAGTTAGTAATATTCAGGTGTTGTTGTTTTTTTACTGAAATTAGGTTAGTTTTAGGAATCAAGATAGAAGACATCCAAGACATTTGTTCTCTTGATACAACTTTCATACAAAATGTTACCAACTACTTTTTGTTGAAAGATTACCACACATATTTGACTTTAGAGTTAATGCCAATAATTTGTGCAAAATGATAAATACAGAGAAGTTTGTTATAGAGTAGTCTTTTTTTCAAAGGAGAAATCATAGTTTGAAAAAGTTTGAATCCTTTTAAAGGATGGTTAGAAATTGGGTTCAGGAATTGGCAGTATGTTATTGAATTTGGTGAAAAGTAAGCAGGGTTGGCCTGGTTAAATATTTGGATGGTATGTGTAATAGGCTAAGAAGTTAAATTTAAAAAAAAACCTAGAGATGAAGGCTCAACTTTTCTATTGGTTTGACATAAGACTATTCACAAAATGTTTGTAACATGTCAGACTGTAGCCACATTTCATTGTTGAGTATGCCTTTGATTCTGGAAATAGCACCAGAGGGCCAAATTTAAACATAAAATAATTCTACCTTATATTTTACTGTTGTTCTTGCTGTTTCTTGCTACACAAGGCTAATTTACAGTTAAGCATTTGTACAAATACTATGTCTGGCCATTTTTAACCATGATATGTTATGATGACCTCTGCATTTTGTAATGGTTGAAAGCAGTGCTTATAAACCATGCTGTTTCATGTAAGTTAATTTATAAAAAAGTTCAAACTCAATTGAAATAAATGGTGTACATGCATGGTCTAATATATGAATATTCATTTAAATAGAGATACATGTAAAAATGAAACCTATTACATTGTATCTACTGTAAATACTAGCAGTTGATTTTGGAAATGTTAAATTGTAATATCTTCTATTCAGTATATAAAGATTCAGGCAGCCTGCCTGGCTGAAAATATGGCTACAGCCTCATTTGGTTGTAGATTACCTTGTTCCTGTACTAGTTCATTCCTCGGAGATTCTTTATTCACAACCAGGTCTATTAGCTATAGCTTTGTATCTTTAGATGGAAAATCATGAAGAAGTTGTAAACTGAACTTGAAAAGAGCAAACACATTTAAAAACATAATCATGCCCAGAGAGTTACAAAAGTTGAATGTAACCTGAAGGATACTTAAATGTTTTAACAGAAATTGAACATTGAGGTAGTGTATATACCATCAAGGACCAGTGGAAATCTTTCAAATATTAATAGACATTTGATTTTAGATAGTTGAAGCCCAATGTTTTAGCTTAAACAAAGGAGAATTGTTTCCAAACGATGTCTGTCAAAAGAAAGAAGAATTAATCTATTCATGGGTATAGACTTTTGTTCAGTGGCATACACTGAAAAAAACAACCCTTGAAAAGAATTGTAATTCTGGTTGCTGGACATGGTTAACTATCTGTAAAAATCTTTGCCAGATGGCTACCAATATAGTGGATGATTATTGAAAACAATCCTAGATCAGGATGTCTTCTTCACCTCTATTTTATATAGAAATCTTTAGCTTACTTTTTTTTAATGGTAGTGCGGAAAGGAAACTTCACGAGGACAGTGGTGTCAACCAAGCAGGAAAAGCCCAAAGGGAACATCAAGCCAGCCATGAAACAAACTTGCATAGGAAAAGAAATCAAATAAAAGGTATTAAAGAAGCCCCTTAGACAAAAGCCCAAATAATTAAGAAAACTAAGGAAACAAGAAAAGAAAACCCTTACAAACACAAGACATGCCAAATCAGCAAAACAAACAGACAAAAGACACAAAATATATTGCAAAGGAGACAGGCAGGAGATTGCCACAAAACAAATATAAGAAACCATTAAGCAAAAAAAGATTAGGACGAAACCGATAATCCAATCAAACCACCCCGCAAACCACCCCGCAAAGTTTGCCTTCTGCACCCCGCGGAGTTTACCCTCCGGCAGAAATGAAGACAACCCCTGACAGGATTTAAAACATTAAGAAATACAAACACAAGCACACACACACAAAATGAGAAAAAGATATAAAAATCAGGGACTTACCATACAAAGGTAGCTAGCCCAGGAACGCAGACTTCTTGCTATCTCTCGCCTTCCTGAAAAATAAAAAGATCCAGCTTTGAAGCAGTTGTCTGTATCCTTGCACCAGAGCTCTCCCAGTGGGAAAATCGAATCCTCAGAAGAAAGGCATTTTGACAGCCTTTCAACAGTAGAATTGTCTTATATTTGAGCTAGTTATGATGTAAACCAGCAGGCTTTTTTAAATTTTCACAATCCTTCTGAGAATCTAATGAAAGTTGTGGATACACACATCTTCAGGAAAATATAAATAAATTTATATGCACAATTTATTGATAAATGGCATTTCCTTGTCACCTTAACATCAAGTACCCATAAGTAAAAAATTACATTGAACATTAAAAAAATCAGTGAGCTTTTGAAAAATTTACAGTTTTACTTTAACATTCACATTAAGTTGATTGAGTAACAAATGTTATTAATGGCTGGGTACTTTTTCTTTAACTTTTATCAACAGGAAAGAGTTTAAAACATCATAACATGGCAGTGATAATTATATATCTAATATATTCTATACTTTGAAATAAAACAGTGCCTTAATAATTTAATTAGATATAAAAACAAAAAAATTCCCAAATGTGTTTTTCAAAGTAATAGGAAAGAAATGGAAGAAATAAGGGGTTTTATTTTCTTGCTATTTTTTTGCATCTGGTTCATAACCTCTCTGATGATTATTCATGGTTTCCCAATAGTCCATGCACCAAATTTAAGTGCTGGTGTAAAAAAAACCTTTCTAGCCTCTGCTTTAATCCACTAGTGTAAGAGTGAATTATTACTAGGAATCTGTCTTCAGATATACTTAAAATTTAATATTTAACCTGTTTATTACTCAGTTTTAGAATCATGGCTTAAGTTGAACAAAAAATGGGATTAGAGATCTATTATGAAGTATGATATGTCTCTGGTAAACAAGTATTTTTTGGGGGGGGGGATGAAATACCACAATACTACATATAAAATGTGAGGTTTTATTTCCAGTATTGGCCATATGCTTCCTATATTGTTGTCCAAGTTTTCTGTTACTTGTCTAAAGTCTCATTAGTCTAAAAACATCAGCTAAGTAGAAATTTGTTCCAATTCATTTCTATATTATTATTAGATTTTTATCCTACCTTTTTATATGTAGCCTAACATAGTGAACATACTAAATACTGCTGCATCTTGTTTCCCTATAGAAACAAAACTTTGAGGTAGGTTGGGCTAAGAGAGGGTGACTGGCCCAAAGTCACCCAGCTGGCTTCATAGTCTTTATGAATTAAGAAGAAAATGCTTTCTTTTCAATAACTTTTAGAGAAATGTTTTATGTGGTGATCCACCTTAGTCACAATTGTTACATGACTATTTATAGTTAAATAGTATTAATATTTGAATTGGAGTGCCTTCTGTTACAAAATAACTAAAATACAGCTTTTGGGGTATGATTATGTAGTCTATTACAATAAAATCAATATTGTTTAATACTAGTATTTAAATTATGCTTATTTGAAACATAAAAAGCAAAGCAAATTCCCACATATCCT